GGCTAGAACACACGAACCGCGAGATCATGACCTAAGAGAAAGTCGGACGCTTAACCGACTAAGCCACCCAGGCGCCCCTGAAAAGCCAGGCTTTAAAAGGTGTAATATTGCAGGTCATTTTAATGTCAATGTTTATCTCTAAGATGATTTTGATAATGAGAAGGTTTGTTATCTTTCCTTGGATGACTACTGTATGCTAGGTGTCCTGCTAAGTGCTTTTAATGTATTAACTTCCTTTGTCTCTCCAACAGCACTCCGAATCTGTCCAGATTTGCTTTATTATGCAAATGAGCAAAATCAGTCATAGAGAAGTTTAATTGGTTTGTTCAAAGCAACCCAGCTAGTCACCCAATGGAAGCCTCGGGATCATGGGATCCTGGGATCATGACCTGAGCCGAAACCATGAGTGAGATGCTTCCACACTGATTTTTACATTCAGGAATTAGTGGGGACATTGAGGCCATCAGGAAACAGAACATGATAATCATTTGCCAATGCATCAAGAACGAGAAGGTCCACGTTACTAGCAAAATAATAAAAGCCACCATGTACCTAATTCACAGCAAGTAATATTGACAGGAGGCAAATAAACCATGGGAACCTATGTGGAATTGGAAGACAAGAAATTTTTTTTTTTTAATGTTTTATTTATTTCTAGGAGAGACAGAGAGAGGCAGCGTGAGCAGGGGAGGGTTAGAGAGAGAAAGGGAGTCACAGACTCTGAAACAGGCTCCAGGCTCTGAGCTGCCAGTCAGCATAGAGCCTGATGCGGGCCTCGAAACCACGAACCGTGAGATCATGACCTAAGGGAAAGTCGGACGCTTAACCAACTAAGCCACCCAGGCGCCCCAGAAGATAGGAAATTCTTAATAATTGCTTTGTCAACCCCAAATTCCTCATGAACTTGTCTTTGCAGCCCAGTGAGAAGGGGCTTGTCACTTCTGTCAGCTGCCAGACAGTCACAGAAGTAGAGATGTGAGGTATACCCGGTAGATGTTCTATGGCAGGTATCAAAACACCTACATGCCCACTATGTATTTGTTAAATGCAAGAATGACCTAGAGTTATCTAAATCACAGCAGGAGTCAAATGAATAGTAGTTTCCCACCTGCAAATCTTTTTTCTTCATTAAGTTCTATTTGTAGATGATACTACTTCATGACAACTTCCTAAAGTAGAATATAAGTAACATTGATCCAAGACTTGTTATATCCCAATTTCTCCCCTAGGAACTTTCCATGTATCTAATTTAATCTACAACATATGAAGGATGTACTATTATTTCCATTTCTCAAATCAGATTGTACCCTTTGTAAGTGATATAATCAATTTAAAAATCCAAGTATTTTGGGGCGCCTGGGTGGCTTAATCGGTTGAGCGTCCGACTTTCACTTAGGTCATGATCTCGCAGTTCATGGTTTCAAGCCCCACGTCGGGCTCTGTACTGACTGCCAGCTCAGAGCCTGGAGCCTGTTTCAGAGTCTGTCACTCCCTCTCTCTGACCCTCCCCTGCTCACGCTGTCTCTCTCTCTCTCTCCTAGAAATAAATAAAAAACATTAAAAAAATTTAAAAATCCAAGTATTTTAACTTGGAAAAGACTAATCAACTGCGATGCCTCAGCATGCTTTTACTAATTTCTTCAAATAAAAATTTAATTTGCAATACTAAAAAAAAAAATCAATGTAGAGAAATGTTGGATTTTTAAAATAAAGTGTTTCTAATATGTCAATCCACATTGCTATTATAAAGGTGTATTTAAACAAAAGCAATCTTTAAAAATGTTAATGAGGTTGCCTCAAGTCCACTCCCTAAATTATCTGAGCTAATCAGCCTGCTTACCCACTCCCCGACACCTCAATTTCAAGAAATTTAAATTCTAGATGAAAACGGTTATTGAAAACATGCTCTGATGTGAAGGGCTTTGAAAGCAGGCATTTTTCACCTCCTCAGCTACATGAAATATCAAGGATTATGTAAAGTTTCTACGTATACGCCATGTTGATAAATAAAATAAAGCTGCATTTTGACCTAATTTTCTGATTTTACAAAAGGATCATTATCACTATTTTTCTTTCTCTCTGCTTCTCTCAGCAGATGACTCTTCATTCTAGAAACTAATACTACTTACAGGAAGACTGAATCACTATCACTTGTGATTAACTTCAATGACTTTTCTTTCTCCTCCACTTGAGATGTCCTCTCTTTTCCTGGAGTTCTTCTCAGGGCCCCTTATGACATCAGGGACAACTACGGTGAATACTAAAACCAAATTCTTTTTGAAAAATGAGTAGTAGCGAGATCTACTACAAAGAAGGGGATGCATCTTGGGAAACGCAACAACAACACAAAAGGTAGAAGTGGAACAATTGAAGATTGCAGCCACAGCCCTACATCCCTTAGGGCAATGGGAAAGATGAAGCAGGAAATCCTTTTAAAAAGTTATACAGAATTTGGGGTGTCTGGGGAGCTGAGTCAGCTTAGCGTCCAACTCTTGGTTTCAACTCTGGTCATGATCTCACAGTTTTTGAGTTTGAGCCCTGCATCGAGCTCTGTGCTGAAAGCATGGAACCTGCTTGGGATTCTCTCTCTCCCTCTCTCTCTGCCTCTTCCCTGCTCATTCTCTTTGTATCTCTCAAAATCTATGAATAAAACTTAAAAAAATATAAAAATTATACAGAATTATAAAAAAACATGTTCAACATCATTTAATCACATTTAAGGCCTACAAGAAGGTATCATTAAAAACTTCTCCTGAGAAACAGCTGTGTTTTGAAGCTTTGCGACTGAGAAATGCTAACAGTGGAAGGGGTGGGGTTGTGAGAGTTTAGATTTCATGTGATGATTCAGAGTAAATAGAGTTGAGAACCGGGATAAATCAAAGGAAGAGCTTGAAAGAGACATAGCAAGAAGATGGGGGACGTAGCACGACATGCCAACTTCAACAGGTTCCGCTGTCACTCTGAAAGGCAGCTTCCAAGGCAGACTGCAGGTCAAGAAAGACAGACACAACCCCATCCCTGCAGATCCAGTGATGGCTTGGTCCCCAGGTCTGAGAATCAGAGGTAACGCAGTACTGCCACCCTCTGCATGGACGGGCTCTGATACATGGCCAATAGCAGAAGAAATACCACACAGGAGAGAGACCAGTATGGCTCATGGCTGTGAACAGCAAGGCATGCTTGAAAGTAAATTTGTCTTCATAAACCAGTAAGAAAAACAAACTGCAGTCACAGTGGGCAAATCAAAACTAGCTTTACATCCTTTTTTATTTTCACATCTTGCTTTAACGTCATTTTGTCTTGTAATGGGAATGTATATATCTTTAAACCATGTTCACCTTTCTAGTTACTAAATGGCTACTCTTTATATAAGTACAACATTTGGAATTTTAATAGGCTAGAGCTATATAGATGAGGTTTTCTCAGAGCACGGATTATCTTTGTCCATCAGGCAGATGCATCACTTAGTGGAAACAGAGCCAAATAGTAGCCATGAGCACAAGGATGGTCCTCCAATATATACACTCTCTGAATGCATATTAATCATGCACTGCACTCTCAAATGGCTACGTGGACCAAGCAAGTAATATATGAATGAAATGAGCCAAGATTAGAAAAACCATGATTGTTGCAATCTATGGTAAACTGGTATCTATTTGCTATGGCTAAAAGGACAGTCATTACTCACCTCCAGAATATTTCTGCCTCATAGAAAGTAAACTCCATGTTGGAAAAATCTCACAATTTTCAACAGAAACTAGGTTACTGTATGGAATGTCCCAATTTTTAAAAGTTATTCAATTAAAAAATAGTACAGAGGTAAAAACCAAACAGTACAACTCACAACAATCATTGTAATAGAAATGTATCTACTGAATGAATTTGGCCCACAGGCTTCCAGCTTGTAACTTCTGATAGAATTCTGGAAATTATCTTTGGGAGACTGGGGAAGGGCAGATTCAATTTGAAAGAAGCCACATGTAGTTTTACAAGAGAATTTGTAGAGTTCAAAGTATGCACTCAGAACACTGCCCAAGGGAAAACGGAAACTAAAATAAGATAAATTAAGGTTAATACTCAAAGGAAGGAAAAGTCATGCCTCTGCTATCATGCAGACATAACCCTTCTACGTGACTGCTGTCTAGAAGACCAACCCAGTCTGTAAGACTGAACAAGAAAGGGTAAAGAGAATAGAAACAAGCAAAAATAAAAAGACAAATATAAAAATCTTTCAATTTCTTATACACAAGGACTGGAAACCCAATGATGACAAACAAAACAAAACAAAAAAACCCACCAGACAACTTCCATAGCTATTATATGGCAAATTTGAGCATTAATCATAGTTTCACACTAAGCTGCAGATTTTATAGAAGTATTTGCTACAATAAAATTTTCTTTGTCTTGGGGCTTGTTGTAATTTGTGTTTTGTTTAAATGAATTCCTGAGTTCTCTGTACCTAAATTTCTTAATGAATGAAAATAACACCAATAGTTTAACTTGTAAGGCCACAAGTCTAAACGTCTAAACCAAACTGACTCCATGACAGGCTTTAAGTTTCCCCTCTAAACTAGAAGGCCTAAGTTTCAGCTTTCCCGAAACTATCAGGCAGTTACACATTGCCCAAGGCAGGAGAAACCACCCTTGCAACACCCAATCAGGAAAGGCCAGCAACCACCCTCCACATTATTAAGGGAGAGGCCTGGAGATAGAAACTATAGATAGGACCCAGTTACCTAATGTTAAAGTTAACCCGTTAGTCACCGAATAAGACCCTAGGCTCACTCTGTGATTGGTTAAATTTAAAGGTACTCTAAATGTGATTGGATCCCGCCAAAACTAACGAATACTCTAGACAATGTGTATGGTCAAACCCGCTGTCAATAATGTTGTATAATTATGATTGGATCACTGTTCCCATGTCACAAATTCTGTAACTCCCCCGTCACAAACCCCATAAAAACCCTACTTCTGCCCTTGTTCGGGGCTATCAGCATGGATCCATTGCGTTGGTGAGGTCTGGGAGCCCGAGCTTAAGCCTGTAATAAAGCCCTTTGCCTTTGCATAAGTGACTCGGACTCCTTAGTGGTCTTGAGATTTTGGGGAGATCGTGATCTGGGCATAACAAACTTACATACTTGCTTGGAGAAGCAGATAAAATGTAATTATTACATTTAAAACCATCTTATGTGTGGGAAGTATCTACTATCTACTGGTGATTTTTTTTTTTAAATTTATTATGTTTAAGGTTTACTTTTGACAAAGGGAGCACGAGCATGCACACATGCGCAAATTGGGGAGGGGCAGAGAGAATGGGAGACAGAATCTGAAGCAGGCTCCAGGCTGTGAGCACAAAGCCCAATGTGGGGCTTGAACTCATGAACCCCAAAATCATGACCCGAGCCAAAGTCGGATGCATAACTGACTGAGCCACCCAGGTGCCCCTCTACTGGTAATTTTATCTCTGGAGAACATAGCATGTGCCAATGAAGAATGTAAAGATAGTTATTGACCTACTGTGTCAGTGACAGAAGATGAGTCTTTTTTTCTAGAAGGTTGGAATTAGCCTGGCTGAAAATATTTGGTCATTGCATACCAAATAAACTATCCATTGTATTTCTGTCAGTGAATGTTTTCCTTGGTGTTTGTCTGAGTAAAACAAATTGGATACAGGTTCAAGGTATATCATTCAGGCACCTTCTTTCAAAAGTAATTAGGGTCTTACTCACTTGAAACCAGATAATTACATATAATGTTATCTTAAAAGAGCCCCCAAGGATTGCTTTCCATTGGTAAATGAATAAGAAGTGCAACAAATGGACTTTCATGATCACTAAAGTTTAGAAGAACTAGGAAAAGAAAGACTCTAAAATTCAGTCTCCTAAGACTGATAAAGAGGAAATAGATTTTTTTTTCCATTTACCCTCACGTAGCCCTCACAGGATTTTGTCCAGTGAAAGTGGCACGTGGAAGGATGTTCCACAGACACTCATTCAGTGACCAGCTCAGCATGGCTCTCCACTAGACCTGCAACCACATGAGAGCTAGACAACACTCTTCCCCTTGGCTTTAATTCATTCAGGAGAAAAAAAATTAAAAACCAAACAAACAACAACAAAAAAACAAACCTATCCTTGGGGATCACACTGTGGTCAATACTAGTAGACCAGGATACTCCTCCTGACTCAAAATATAGCTGGAGACTTGATAATGTCTGACCCAAACAAGGCCAACTGAAATTGGAAAATAAATTCACTACCAAGCCAAGAACTAAGTTAGTAGATACACAAAGATTTTGGGAGTAATATCATAAAACTAGAACAGAGGAGGTCTTGAAGGGGTTAAATAAAAGGGGGAGCTTGGTGATTATAAATGGGCAGATATTGCTAGTAATGATCAAAAAGAAAAGACAATCCAGCAATTTTCAGATAAGCAATCTTTCCCCTATTTCAAGCATTTCTAGAAACTGAATCTAGATATAGTTTTCCACATGTTTTATACCACAAGACATAACTGACTTTTTCAATTATTTTTCTACTGTTCAGTGTAAGAAAAAAAAAATCATACTAAATCAAGTTGCATTCAATACTTTTTCAGTCTGTGAATGTACCCTACTAAAAGAAGTAAAACAAAAATTTTTATCACATAAAAAGCTTATTTTAATTATTTTACATTCCACTCTGCCAATTTCTAAAACATATTCAGAAATTTACATGAAAATTATTTCAATGGCCACTGTGGCCTAATTTGATTTAAAAATATTTACTTTTCTATTTAAGTTAAATTTACTTGAATTTTAATTAACATTCAAGTATGTTAATTTGTAAAGACACTTAAAGATGCCAATGTGCCTATATCCTTCCCCTGGGTATGTATCTGAAATACATTTCCACGCAGTTAAAAATGAACTTTTAAATTTTAAAGACATAGCTATTATTTTGTATTTCAAAACTTGGTACTATATATGACCTATTATAGCTGAGTATCTTTTAAGCATTAACCCTGCCACACATCACACATGTAATGGATACCCTGTGGATCAAGTCATGATGCCTCGTCTTCCTGACAGAATTCTCTTCCGTTCTGAGGGAACCTCTAATGGGATCACTCCTCTTTTGTGTCTTACATGGCTTTTTTTTTCTTCTTTAAATTCTTACCTAGAACTTGGCCTAATATCATGTATTTTGTTGATAAGTTTCTTTTGAACAACTTTAAAAAAATTATTAAGGTTTAATTCATACACATTAAACTGCACATGTTGAAATTCGCACCTTCAGTCCTTCAGAATGTGACCTTATTTGGAAATAGGGTAATTGCAGATGTAATTAGTTAATATGAGAAATTGGGTCAGCCCTTATTCCCATATGACTGGTGTTCTTAAGAATAAAAGGGAAATTTGGCAAAAGACACAAAGTAAAGAGGAGATGGCCATGTGAAGATGAAGCAGAGATTGTAGAGATGATGCTACAAGCCAAGAACCATGCAGGATTAGCAGAGACTGGAAAAAGCAGGGAAGGATCCTCCTCTAAAGATCTCAGAGGCAGCATGGCCTTGCCAACACCTTCAGTTTGGACTTCTGGTCTCCAGAATGGAGACCACAAATGTCTGTTGCTTTACACCAACCAGTTTGTTGTGGTACCGTGCTACAGTACCTCCAGGAAACGACCACAATTTGCATTCAGGAAACTATCTGACAATAAAAATAGAAAACAAATGCCTCCCCTCAAAAAGTTACCAGATTCCCATCCCATGGACATCTCCCAACACTCACCCCATCCCCATGAAACTGAATGTCTTTCTGTCACCGTAAATTGGATTGCATTTTCTAGAATTTAATATGTATTCTACATAAATGTATATAAATTCTAGAATTATATAAAATGTATTATTATGCACAGAAGATATGCACTGGATTCTTTCAGCATAATTGTTATGAGACTCATTCATGTTGTACATTCATGGGCACATCCATTTGCTGCTCCTTTGTTATCAACAAATAGTATTCCATTACATGAATATACCTCAATTCATTCATTCATTCACGTGTTGATACATACTTAGATTGTTTCCAAAACATTGGCTCTAACAAGTATACCAGCTATACATGTCATATGCATGCACAAATATTTGTGCATGTTTCCTAATTGTGGAATCACTGGGTCATAAACTAGGTAGATGTTTAAACTGTAAAGGAATTACTGAGACATTTTCTAAAGAGATAGTACTATTTTATATTCCCAACAGAAGTATATAAAAATTCCAGTTCCTCTACATCCTTGTCCACAATTGCTATGTGTATTAAGTATGCTTTTTTTAATGTTCTGTGTAACATTCTGACATCTCTTGGGAGCCTTCAGACCCTGGAAGAGACTGCTTTTCCCAGAGCTGGTTTGTACCTGAAGATAATAACAACCTCCCATAAGCATGTTTTTCATATACAAACCAACCAAACAAGTAGCTCTGTCCCTACTTCCTCTCATCTAGCTCTCATTCATCAGGCCAATATGGTTGTCTCTCCTTACCGTGGAGGAAATGTTCCAGAACCCCCAGAGGATGTCTGAGCCCGTGAACAGTACCAAACTCTACGTATAAGTGCTTTTCCTCTACGTATACACCTATTACAAAGTTTAATTTATAAATTAGGCATAGTAAGATTAATAACAACAATAATACACAACAATTTTAACAATGTACTCTAAGAAAAGTTCATGAATGTGCTCTCTCTACCAAAACATCTTATTGTACTGTACTCACCCTTCTGTAAGATGATAAAACACCAACATAAGGAAAAGGAAGCGAGGTGAAAGAAGCAGGCGCATTCTGATGCAGCCTTAGGCAGCTATTTATATGCCTATGCTAATTAAGAAGGAGGGACAGCTGTTTCCAGACCACAGGTGAAGAGGAGGGAACTAAAACCGTGGATAAAGAAACTGAGGCTAGTGAGACCACAGATAAGGGGGAGCTATGTTGTTTCCCTTCCCCGCAAAATAATCCTAATGCCAGATATCAGGCAACTTCAAACCACCCCTATGGCCCAACACCCAGTGGAGTTATTCCAACTAGCTGATCCTAAACTATTTACTCTGCCTTGCCTTGCCTTTCCGGAGGAAACTCCAATGAAACTCTGGCAGAACTGCCTTCAGTTTTCAATTTAAATTCTATTGTTAAAGAACGTCCTTTTGGGGCACCTGGGTGGCTCAGTCGGTTAAGGGTCCGACTTGGGCTCAGATCATAATCTCGCGGTTTGCGGGTTTGAGTCCCGTGCCAGGCTCTATGCTGACAGCTAGCTCAGAGCCTGGAGCCTGCTTCAGATTCTGTATCTCCCTCTCTCTCTGACCCTTTCCTGCTTACGCTGTCTCTCTCTCTCTCTCTTTCTCTCTCTCTCAGAAATAAATAAAAACATTACAAAAATTTTAAAAAAGAAAGTCCTTTTAATTTTTTTTCCCTAAAGACTTTACTCCATTAATCTGTTCTACATAATCATTCTTTTTTGATAGGCATAGAAAGTTCTTGCATCTACAAGAATGGTTGAAAATATGGTACCTATCTATCAGACTACCATGGAATGAAAAATCGATTTTTCATATACATGTCAAAAATATATATTGATATATTTATTTCCATAAATAACATTTTGCTGTACATTCCTAATTCCTGAGTGCTGAATGCTAGAAGAATCTCTTCCTTTGTGGTTTTATTGAAACCGAACTTAATTGAAAATATTATTTCTTTTCTTTTTTATTCTTTTCTTTTATAGCTGGTCCTGATGTCTTTTAGCTTGAATGAAGTTTTCTTTAAAGTAAACATTTATTCACTCATGTGTATAGTAACACAGATTTCAGTTTTAAGCCCACAAAGATATTTTACTGTTTTCTTCTAGAACTTTTACTGGTTTATCATTCAAATGTACATCTGCAATTGAGCTAGGATTATTCTTTTATGATAGAAGACAAGATCTTTTTTTTTTTCATATGCAGTTGAATTGCACCACTCATTTAAAAGGCTTTTTAACTTTTCAGTTAAAGTGTTACCTGTGTCACAAATCAAATGACTGAACATAGTGTTGGTCGGGTTTTGGATTTGGGATTTACTTCTCTTGTTCCTTTTTTCTCTCTTTCTTTGATTATGTTGTCTGTAAATACTGAGCTTTATTTCTTACTTTCCCATTCACTTAACTAATATTTCAAGAATTCATAGATTGGAGAAGCAATATGGGCTTAGAGTTTTCTTGGTGAAAATTCCCTAACAGTCTAATAATTTAATAGATGTAATCTAGTCAAACAGACTTCTTGTTAGGTTTAGCAAGTTTGATTTTTCCAGGGACTTTTCTAGAAATTGACCCCATTTTTTCCCCTAAAGTTTCAAATATATTGATATATTTGTATCTTTTTACCTTTTTAATATCTGCAGGAGTATCTCTAGTAATGTACCATTTTTTACTTTTAAAAAATTCCTGATATAGTTGATTTCTATTTTCTATCTTGTATGTTAGTAAATCTTATTATGAGTTTATCAAATTTTTCATCTTCAGAGAACCAACTTTTGACTATTTAAAATTTCTATTGCCTACTTAGTATTTCATAGAGTTTAAAATTTAATTTCTGCTCTTTTTTTTATTATGCACATAATTTTATTCATTTGTGGACCTGAACATAGTAATAGCTCTTCATACATTCCAAAATTCTCTGATAAAGAGGCTGGAATAAAATATTTCACCTTCACTTGACTGATGACTTATCCAAAAGAAGTCATTATTTTCATAAAAGAATCATGTCTCAAATGGTAAACATTGGGAAGGATATAAAATTATTACCTAGTTGCAAACTCTAGGAAAAAGTTCAAATCTTCATCCTGTTTATGTTATAATACAAATACATGTAACATTAACAAGACTGTCAGATTAATTTACAACTTCTGCTTATGTGTTTTCTTTAAGGGCCTGAGTTATGTAAAGGAAAGAGAAAATTGTACATTTCAGCTGATCCACTCTGGGTAGATTGCTTGTGTGATCAGATGCAAGGCATCTTCAGAGAGAGAGGCAGGGCAGAGAGAAAGGGGAACAGGGAAGAAGTGCAAGTTGGGGAGAGATTTACACATCTACTTTATTATGGTGAATAAATGATGAACAAAAGAAGTTCAGGGAACTAACATCGGGAAATGGCCAATACACACAATTGACTTGATATAAGGACATAAATCTTAAGACTCAAAAGTGAAATTTAAAGAACCATTAACTACTAAATGCAATGTGGTAACCTGGGTTGAATCCTGGAACAGAAATAGTCCATCAATAGAAAAGCTGGGGAAATCTGAATAAAGTCTATGATTTAGTCAATAGTATTGTGCCAATGTTAATTTCTTAATTTTCACAAATATAGTTATGTAAGATGATGACATTAGGGGAAATTGAGTACTATCTTTGCAACACTTCTGTAAATCTAAAGGTATTTCAAAATAAAAGGCTAAATGTTTTCAGAAAGAATCTTGACTAGAGGGACTAAACTGGATCTTGAAAAAAATCATCAGATAATCTAATATGATTTCAGAAAACCAAGTGCTGATACATACAACTTTTAAAGAAATATTCCACCTGATTGCTCAGTAAATCTACCCTCATGTTTCATCTTCTGTACTTTCATATCCCTACTTTATATTTAACGTGGTCCCTCTGACCAGGCTTCTTTTCATTCAGGAGGAAAGAAAAATGCCTGGTTGACCATGATTTACCCTTTCATATTCTTGAATTAGCTCTTCTATTTCCTCGAGCAAAAATATTCCTCTTTAACTTTTCTCACAGACAAAATTAATCCAGCAATTTATAATTTCCATTCTTTTCTTTCTTTCTTTCTTTTGTTTTTGTTTTTTTTTTACAAATAGTTTATTGTCAAGTTAGTTTCCATATAACACCCAGTGCTCATCCCCACCTGTGCCCTCCTCAATGCCCATCATGTCCTCAGTTTGTTCTCAGCATTCAAGAGTCTCTCATGGTTTGCCTCCCTCCTTTTCCCCTCCATTTCCCCCCTCCTTCTTCTTCCCCAAGATCCTCTGTTAAGTTCCTCCTAATCTTCCTATACATGCAAACGTATGGTAGCTGTCTCTCTCTACCTGACTTATTTCGCTCAGCATAACACCCTCAAGTTCCATCCATGTTGCTACACATGGCCAGATGTCATTCTTTCTCATTGCCATGTAGTAGATAAACCACATCTTCTTGATCCATTCATCTGTTGATGGACACTTAGGCTCTTTCCATGTTTTGGCTATTGTTGAGAGTGCTGCTATGAACTTAATTTCTGCTCTTTATGTTCTTATTCTCTTTTCTTGGAATTGATTTGATATTATTTTTCTAACTCCTTTAGGATAATCAATTTTTAGCCTTTATTTTTTTCTAATATGTGCATTTAAAGTAATACCTTTCTGTCTAAACCCAATTTTGTCTACCCTGCCAAACTTTAAAAATTTTTTATAAATACTGTTCAGTTCAAAATATTGTCTGATTTATGTTCGGTTTTCTTCCTTGACCTATGGATTATTTAGTAATTTATAGCTTTATTTTCAAATATATGGACATATTCCAGGCATTTTTTATGATTGAATTCCAGTTTAACTACATCGTGATCAAAGAGTATTTTATTTTTATTTTCATTTTTTTAATGTCTATTTATTTTTGAGAGACAAAGTGCAAGCAAGGGAGGGGCAGAGAGAGAGGGAGACACACAGAATCTGAAGCAACTCCAGGCTCTAAGATTTCAGCACAGAGCCCGATGTGGGGCTCAAGCTCATGGACCACAAGATCATGACCTGAGCTGAAGTCAGATGCCCAACCGACTGAGCCACCTAGGCACCCCAAAGAGTATTTTGAATTATCATACTTTAACATTTGTTGAGATCTTCTTTCTAGTTCAATCTACAATAAAGTTTTTTTACAATGAACTTTTATAAATGCTCATGTGAGTTTCAAAAGAATCTGTGCATTAGAACGCATTCTCACCTTATTTTGTGCTGCAGTGCTTCATATATATCAGGTCAAATTTTGTAATAACTTCTACAGATCTTCTCTGTGCTGACTGAAATATTTTCCTGTTTGGTCTTAGTTATGAGAAATGTGTGTTAAAATCTCCTTTATTGTGGATTTCTCCACTCCACCTTTTACTTTTGCCACTTTGTTCTGTGTATGTATGGAACTTGTATTGTTACATGCATACAATTTTTAAATTATTAAATCTTCTTGTAGATTAACTTTTTCATTATAAACATCTTTTTAATTTCTGGTGACGCTTCTTGCCTTAAAATATTTCTTGTTTGACACTGACCTGTGCAAGAATTTTTTTGAATAATGCTTAAATAACAAGTTTTTCCTTTTTTTTTTTTTTGTTTTTAGCACTTCATTCCTTTCTGTATTTATATCTATGAGTATTTTCCTTCTGCTTGAGGACATCCCTTTTGTATCTATTTACTAGTGGGGAATTCTCTTCACTGTAATTTTCTGGAAATGCCTTTATTTCATGTTTACTTAGAAGGATATTTATAGTAATATAAATATCCTTGGATATAGAATTATACATTTTTAATCATTTTGTTTAAACTTTTGTTTAAAATATCCTTGGATAGGGGCGCCTGGGTGGCTTAGTCGGTTAAGCGTCCGACTTTCACTTAGGTCATGATTTCGTGGTTCGTGGGTTCGGGCCCCGTGTCGGGCTCTGTGCTGACTGCCAGCTCAGAGCCTGGAGCCTCTTTTGGTCTGTGACTCCCTCTCTCTCTGACCCTCCCCTGCTCACGCTGTCTCTCTCTCTCTCTCCTAGAAATAAATAAAACATTTAAAAAAATATCCTTGGATATATTATATTTATAGTAATATAAATATCCTTGGATATAGAATTATACATTTTTAATCATTTTGGTTAAACTAGTAATTCCCATTTTAAAAAAAATTTTTGTTAATAATCTCTTACTTTTAGAGTAAGAGTCTTACTTTTAGTTTTTTGTATCTGCAGCTAATAAATATTGACATGACATAACACTAATTTGACTACCAAGGTATGAAAAAACTACTTAAAAGCAGGAAAAGTTCAAAGTGAGGGGAAAAAATGGAATAATCTTAGCTACAGCTGTGGAGGGAAGCACCGTAGAAACTAATTGACAGACAATTAAAGGACACTTTTGGACAAAATGTGCAGACTGGCTGGAATGTGATTATTAGCAGTCAGATGAGAACAAATAATGTTCCATTCTAACTTTGTCTGAATACCTTCCAGAAGGCCCTTTAAAAGACACTGGCTGTTACATGAAAATAATTGCCACAAATACAAAAACAAACTATTAGGCACAGTTTTTCAAAATCTTCTCTGTGTTTTTTAATTATAATTTTATAAATAATAGAATGTTTGATTCCTCTTTGTGTATTGTGAAGATTTTTGCCCCTAAAGCAGATTATGTACCCAGAGCATAAGAACCAGTAGTTAATATGACAAACATGAAAAGACATATGGTCAAAGTTACCATTTTAATAACATTAGAACAATAAAAATGGTTTATAATTTGAGCAAAATTCAGCATGGATATAAATTTTGCCTCATATGCCAAATCTAAAATGAAAGCAGAGCTATGTTAATAACAGTCATATTTGGTGAAAATTAATTCATTTGTCCACTGATCACTGTTTATCACATGTTCAGGTGCCAAAAAATTATTTTATTTCATTATAATTCAATTGATTAGATACTTTGTTAAAGATATTTATAATATCAGTCAATACAAATAAATACTCACTTTCAGGGAAGACACAATGCAGACATGAGTATTACTCTAGAACATAAAACCAATGAGAGTGTGGATTTGGTCTATCTTGTTCAATGATCTCTCTTGCACTGACATTAAGGCTTATTTCATAGTCCTCAAAAATATGTGTTGAGGGCAGGGGATGGATTAAACAGGTGATGGGGATTAAGGAATGCACGTGTTAGGATGAGCACCAGGTGTTTTAAGTGTTGAATCACTAAATTGTACACTTGAAACTAATATTATACTGTACGTTAACTAACTGAAATTTAAATAAAACTTAAACTTTCTCTAAAAGTTGACTTAAAAACATCTTACGCATAAAGGTGATGACAATAACAGTGTAACCTAGTTGGAGAGGTATCTACCAGTAGTCTGTTAATATCAATCTCTTATTCACTCCAAGCATACAGTATTTACAAATACTGAATTTGAAATATAGTTTTCACAAAGAAAACTCATGTCCCCTGAGATTGGCTCTAACACCATTTTTAGGGGATACTGAAGTCACCACGTGGTGTGATCTGAAATGTCTTCTGACCTAGTTTTGTCTAAAAATTATTAACACCTTGCATAGTATAAACCACCTCTGGATAACTTTGGACTCTTTATCATTTGCAGCACTTTCGGCTAGACTCCTAAGATCTGTATATTTTCAGTATGTTTTAAAGGTGACAACAATTGGAAAAGAAAAATATGGAAAATAAATATACACATTTGGGAGAGAAAGATAACCCCAATTTTAGACATATGAGACAGGCCTGAATTTCTCACCAATAGCATTTCATGATTGTCTACAGTTCCTGCCTGGCTTGAAGTTCCTTAATGTAGAATAATTATTTGGTTAGACAGTAGTGAGGCTCTTGCCTCCAGACATATTTAGCAAGTACCATAACTTTTACTCTCTTAGCATAATATTAGATTCTATGAGTGGTATAAAAAGTGCATAATACAGTCTGTTTTTATGAAGATCACAATTTTGTTTTCTACAAGGAAAAAATAGAGATATCTGCACTTGGTTAAAAATGTATGAGAAACTCTGAAACCTGTTTTGGAAGTCTGAAACCTCATAGCAGGATTATATACTTGAGGTTTAAATCTTGACTTAACTTTTCTAAAGATGGCCCTGGTTGGCAAACCTGGAAAGGGGTGATACGTAAAACCTTCCTGGTTTATTCCTTTTGGGTTAAACTGAAATTATTATCACTGTTGGAAACAGAAAAGTTTCCTTCTTCTTGCAGAAAAACCAAATTACTTTAACCTTTATAAATGTAAAATAATGCCTCCTATAAGAGCTTCAGTTATACAAAACAGAGTTTAGCATGTAGAACCTACTTTTACATGAAAAACAGGGCAAATATACTATAGCCTGCTTCCTTTACCACGACTTCAGGGGAATAATGGAGAGATCAGAGGCTTTTGAATGAGATACATCTGGATTTGAGTCGTGTTTTGTGAATTAGCATAGGCTTCTTGTTTCTCACTTACAAGGCCTTAGTAACCTCACCAAAGAGCATTGTTGTGAAGATTAAATAAGAGTGTGTGTGTGTGTGTGTGTGTGTGTGTGTGTGTGTGTGTGTGAAAGCTCTCAGCAATTAGATTTTCAGTGAAGGTGAAGTCTAGATTTCCATTGTTCTTATCGTTGTTTTCACAGACTTTCGCAGAAATTGTTTTTCATATCATATATTGCCTTTGTCTCTCTACTGGGTTAAAGTATAATTGAGGAAATGGACAAAAGTTACATTTTTAAAAAGTTCAACATCATTAATCATCAGGGAAATGCCAATCTAACCATAATGAGATAGATATTGCTTCACATCTGTTAGACTGTTAGAATCAGAAAGAAAACAGGTAACAGGTGTTGGCAAGGACGTGGGGAAAGGGAATGCTCATGCACTGATTGTGGGAATGTAAACTGGTTCAACCACTATGGAAAAAGTATGGAGTTCCCTCAACAAAGTAAAAACAAAACTACCATATGATCCTGCAATTCCATTTCTGTTACATATCCAAAGAAAATGAAATCATTGTTTTACAGAGATATTTGCACTCCTATGTTCATAGCATCATTATTCATAATAACCAAGATATAGAAACAGCTTAATCCATTGACAAATGAATGGATTAAAAAAATGTGACTATATAGAACATTCTATGTATACATATATAGAAAGGAATATTATAACGCCATAAAAAGGAAAGAAATCCTGCCATTTATGAAAACCTACGTGAACCCTGAGGACATTAAGCTAAGTGAAGTAAGTAAGACAGGGAAATACAAATACTGTATAATATCACTTCTCTGTGGAATTATTAAAAAAAAACCAAACTCATAGAATCAGAAAATAGAATGGTGGTTGCCAGGGGATGGGAAATGGGAAGAGTTACTCAAGGAATACAGACTTCCATTTATAAAATTAATAACTTCTAGGCATCTAATGATGATTATAGTTAGCAATACTGTATTATACACTTCAAAGTTGTTAAGAGAGTAGATCTTAAATGTTCTCACTACAAAACCAAAAGGGTTATTATGCAAGATTACTCAGGTGTTAACTTTACACAAGTAATAATTTCACAAAATACGTGTATCAATTAATCACCTTGTACATCTTAACCTTACATACTATTGTATGTCAAGTATATCTCAATAAAGTTGGAAAAATATCCTTAAGAACAATGATAAGGTTTTACTTTTTTTTTTTTAGTGCCAGTATTTAGTCAGTTACAGCAGTATGGTCTGGAAATATCACTTACCAGCTTGACAAATAGACTGGTTCTCTCATCTTCTGGCTGATATTATTTCATTTATGTCTGTCTGTCTGTCTATCTCTCTCTCTCTCTCTCTCTCTCTCTCTCTCTCCATTCCAGATCTTCTACACTATGATAAAGATATAAGTGAATTTCAATGTTTCTATATTTATTATTAAATTTGTTATTTTACTCCTTAAAACTTGAACAAAATTATAGTGAGTGCTATACAACTAGTAGAGTCTCATTGTTATAACTCACTCAAAAAATAAACACTTCATTTTATATTGATTAATCCATTCAAATAAATTATAGAAGAAACAAATTTCTTCTGAAAACACAGTTAAAATCAAAATTCAAGTTCTAAGCTGATAGCACTCTCATTAGTAGTAATAAAGCTGCAAATACTTACTCAACCAGAAAAGTGATTGATTTATCTCAGAAAGATTTTTGTTTGGTGATTTAAATATCTCTTCTCATATACAAAAATTTGTACCTCACTTAATTGAGATAAAGATGCTTTCAATTTCCATTTATTAAAAAAATGATCCTACAGATCACTTAAAATAAACAGTTAACACTACTGTGATTTATGGTGCTGATTTCAACAAAACTGT